CAACCAGACCCAGAACTGATCCGGAATTAAAACAGGACTACAAGAGTTCAAAATCAGGACTACTGAGGACTTAACCAAGACAGAACCAGAATCAGAACTAGATGATAGTAGCACTAAAAATCATCATAGACCTGCACTACACTTATTTTTTAATTCTACCAAAGTCCACTATTTAGATTGAGAAAAGTTTATATAATTATTTATCCTTGTTGTGCAAACAAGCTGCATAACTTAATAAATGTAGAATTTGAAAAATAACAAACCTAAAAAGAAACACTAGGTACGAGATACATGAGTACCTATGATACTTTTGGTAAACAACCATTTGACTAACATGTGTGTCTCACCTGCTCTTGTTCATCTCTGTTCTGTCCTCATTCTCCATCTCCCTCTCTCTCCCTCTTTGTGCTGACAATCATCAAATATACAGATATTTACAAACTCTTCAGATCAAAACACTTTTTTAATTGTAACATCAAATCAGACTAAATGTTTATTTTTTTTAGATTGATAAATATATTATTTATCAATAACATATTTGTTAACTTTAAGAGTAAAGTGAGAAACTGTCTGTATTTCTTAATTGTAAATGGCACCAAATTGTATTCAAAACTGAGCCACACTTATGGAGCTCCACAGTTCTGTTCCTGGTGTTTTGGTTGACATCTCCTGATGTTCCCATGTCACAGAAACAGCCTCTGTGTTTTGCCTTATATGCATCCACAGCTGTGCCACCAGTTTACTCACATGGACTCTACGAACCTATCAGAAGCTTCTTCAGCTCAGAATGGAATCGTCTGGAGTTTCTTATTAATTAACAATAAACTTAGTGTATATGTACTCTTAAATTTGATGAAAGTGATAAAAATAGACAGCTGTCTCTCTTTATTCTGACATTTAACTAATTCAAAATATATTTCAATATTTATTTAACCAAAACAAACAAGTTTACTCTAAATTGATGTTGTACAGTAAAAAAATGTTCTTGTGTTTTCCATAAAGTGTAAGTAAATATCTGGTTTCAACTGTGAATATCCTGCTGTGTATTGAAGTTCCTCTTGTTTTGCATAGAAATATATATACAAAATATATACAAAGCATAATATATCAAATACTACCAGAGTTTTTTCTTTGAAAGAAGCCCCTTATGTCCATTCTTGTATATCAGTACATAACTGAAACCGATTTATTTAGCCATGGAGGGAAACAACTGAAAATATGAAATAAACACATGTAAGCTAAGACTCTAAAAAAACAGCATTGTTGTTGTTCGGCTTTTCATTTCGCCATTTGTTGATTCACTTGAAGAGCAAGTAACGTAATATGGGTCAAGCGATCAGTTTGATATCAATCTTTCGTGATGCACCGTATATTTACATTATTTGTACGGTACGAATGGTTTGCTTTGGTACCTGGTCGAACTTAAGCTCTCCTTAGTATGGCTGGCTCCGTTTCTCCAACAGCGCACTCACAGGCAGCAGCTGCCCCGCCCTCTGCTCAGTCCTCAGTGCCTGAGCTCGGATCATACCAATATCAGGGGGGATTCACGCACAGTCGTAAATTCCCACAGTGTGCACTATGTGCTTCGAATATTGTGTGTACTTTTGTTGTCAGCCAGACATCTAACTATGAAAAAATTACACTCCAAAAGACCCCGGGCTTCTGACAAAACAACCCGGGCTTAAGCCCAGTAAGCCACCCCCACGCTCCGCCCCTGCATGCATGCATACATGCATACATGCATACATACAATAAGTGCAACACAGACATGACAGCATCGTGCAGAAGACGCACACATCACAAAAATAATAATAATAATAATGTAACTACAGGGGTCCAACAAACAATGGCCACGCATCAAATTTATTTTTCTCTCTCTCACTCTTGTCGTCAGACACCGTGAAAACTGAAGAAACACAAAGTTTACATTTATGTTTACAACATAAATGTCCTCTTATTACCAGTGTAGAACACGTATGCAACATTATGCAAACAATATACATGAAAGCATACCGTGTGCGCCTCTTGGACCACATGCAGAATGACATTAACGTTGAGGCTGTAGATGCATCTGTAGCCATGTATCCATGCTAGCTCCACCGTGCCATGGTTGTGCTCTCAACCAAACCTGGTCATGTGACCATTACAAACATTACAGCACTTTACATATTTAACAAACCCATATTTTGTAATCACATATTTTAGACATGTTTTTTAATCAGTGTTACACTTTTATCATCGTATCTTATAAATAAATGAACTAAATTAAGCATGAATCTATTACAGCAACATGAAATAAACAACTTTATTTTAACTGTCTCAGGGACAGTTACTACTACTACTACTACTAATAATAATAATAATAATAATAATAATCCACACTGCTCACAGACACCGGGTCCGTGACCTGTATATAAAAGGCTGAAGCAACTGTGACATCACTGTTTGATGTCCTTATTATTTAAAGATAGGAAGCCATAAACGATAAACATGCAGAAACACCTACAATAAAGCAATACATTATATAAACTGTGCAAAATGACATGTGAAAAATAATTTTCACAATACATAAGTTATCATTAGTCTTTCATATCGCTGTGGGGAACCTGAGACCTGTTTATTCACAGGTGTCTGAAGGTCCCACCACAGCCTTTCACTCATGTCGGGGTCTGGACGTAGAGATTTGCAGCTGACCTCAGGATCATTGTCCGAGCACAGCTAAGTAACCCAAAGTTTTAGCAATTAGACAAACGTCCTCACTTTTATCAATGAAATTATCCGAAACAGAGTTCAAGGTCGATGACTGTGGCTGCCAAACTAAACCAAATCACCCATCTACTGCTGTGGTTAACAGCTGGTCCGAGGTGTTTGTGCCGATACGCTGTGTTTGGTTTTCTCCACTTGTGGCATTTTGCATGACAGCCAGAAAACTCCACTTTGGTCTCGTCTGTCCACAGGACATTCTACCAGAAGACTTGTGGTTTGTTGAGATGTTACTTTGCAAACCTAATCCATCACGTAGATTTCTGTAGCAAATGAGTAACTTACAACATAATCAGAAACCCCTTTTTCATCTTACGCCACAACCTTTCACATAATCTGATGTCATTGTGCGTCAGGTGGACGCAGCCCGCAAAGACGGAGGGGAAAGTTGCGGTCTAGGGTTGAAAGGTTTCTGGGTGAACTGTAAGTTTGGAACTAGATTTCCTGCAGAAGTCTAAATCAAGCTTAAACTTTACTGCCATGTTCTTTTTAGAGATAAGAGGCATTGTGCTAGCAACCCTCCTTTGTTCAGTCTTTTTCTGATTAGCGTCATCGTGTCATTAACACAGCTGAACGCTCCGGACCAGCAAACTGCCAAAGCGTCTGCTTTTGCAGAGGTGCTGACATGCTGAACCTTGCTGCTACTGAGCCTCTTATTTTCCATTGAGGCAGTGAGGCTTGATTTCTCACAGGACAGTTAAAGATGTGGTCACTTGAGGTAAAACGCCTGCAGTCAGATTGGTCCATGTCTGCTTCAGAATTTAAATGGATTTAAATGAATGCTTGTTTGTCCCACCGGTGTAGGTTATACTAATGAAACTAATTAAAACATGTTTACAATTTAGTTTGACTGTGAAACTGACATGTATCCCCAAGAAGGACTTTATTTAAATGGTAAATAAAATTCCAATGATTCAATCTGAGGCTGCTTTTCCAAACATTTAAGATTCAAAGTGTTTATTGTCATGTGTGCAAAGAAAAAGTATTTCTCTGTATAATGAAATTCTTTCTCTGCTGTCCACACACAGATGCCAGTTAATATGTACAATAAAAAATACAATACAAATAGCATGAATAAATAAATGGAGACAAAAAAATTGAAGTATTAAATAGATTTATGTGCAAAAGATCAATGAGCTTAATATGCTGGTTTGATATGTGAGATTACCTGATGTGCAAAAATTATTATTACTGTTAAAATAGGTCAGCTGTTCAAGAGTCTGATAGCAGTGGGGAAGAAGGAGTTGTTGAGTCGAGATGTTCTGGGTTTCACACTCCTGAACCTTCGTCCGCGAACTTCAGTATGCTGTTATCACTGTTGGAGGCAACACAGTCGTGGGTGTACAGGGTGTAGATGGGACTGAGGACGCAACCCTGTGGAACGCCAGTGTTAGTGATAATGCTGGCTGAGGTCCTGTTGCTGATCCTGACGGACTGAGGCCTGCCAGTCAAAAAGTCCTGCAGTCACAGAGGGTGGGGGTGCAGGCCGAGTGTTGCCAGCTTGTGTGGGATGACGGTACTGAAGGCGGAGCTGTAATCAACAAAAAAGTACCCTGATGTATGAGTCTTTGGTCTCATCAAACATGCAACAGAAAACTGATACTGAGCAATTTAACACTTTAAGTCTGCTTCACTCCTTTCGTTCACCTCGTGATATTTTCCAGGTCAAAGAAAAATTATGGGAATAAGAGGAGGGAACTTTGTGGACTATTAGACTGGACTCAATTTACAAACCTTTTTTGTAACCATTTCAAACACTGAGAATAGTTTTCAAAATTTTTTTTCAAATGCTATAATGTGTGTGTGTGTGTGTGTGTGTGTGTGTGTGTGTGTGTGTGTGTGTGTGTGTGTGTGCGCGTGCATGTTATTTTTTTAACATTTTTTATTTTTTTTATGTTATTTTTTTAACAGCACCGTGTAATAAGTTTACAAAATGTTCAGTTCATGATGTGAACACAGTCCTGACTCACTGCTGACACCTGTCTCTTATACATGAATGTGCTGCACTGCATTCATACACAAGGAGTAAATTCTCACATCACATTTACACAATTACAACATGCACGTGCGAATAGACCTCTAACTACATACTCTGGAGCAAAAAGGATCAACTTTGTCCCTGAAATAAACATGAATGAATTGAAAAAGTTCATTTCTTTGTGACTTGGACTTGGTGTGCATTAGACCTGCACACACACTAACCTGTGTGTTGTTGTTGTTGTTGTGTCTTGTGACAGATGGTGCGTTCACGGTCTTTGGGGTATAAGAAAGAGCTGGGCTTGACCTCTGAGGCTGGAGCTCTGAAGGAAAACATCAAGAAGAACAGATATAAAGACATCCTGCCATGTATGTCCTCACTCTTCTCAGCCTTTCTCTCATTCATACCTCCATCCTCTTTCCTTTGTTTCCCTCTCCTGTAAGGATTAGCTTATTTTCAAGTTGAAAACAAGCTGAACAGCGAAGGAGGAAAACATTTTATCAAGAGACACAAAGCTTTGTTTTGCATCTCTGGAAACTTTCATGAAATCTTTCAATTGCCGTGCATTTTTTTTCTGGTTGTTGTGGGTCCCTGTGGCTGTTCTGTAGCTCGACTGCTTGTAGTGAACACGGATCCTAACAAAGCTTTATGAAATCAGTTTGGGCTCAGCAGAGACTGATCGAATATTTATGAAGAACAGTTATAGTGAAACCTGCTTTAATGGTCTCAAATACGTGTCCTTTAAGTAAGTGTGTGTGTGTGTGTGTGTGTGTGTGTGTCTGTCTGTCTGTCTGTAGATGACCAGTCTCGGGTGGAGCTCTCTCTGCCGACCACAGACTCCAACTCTGATTACATCAACGCCAGCTTCATCAAGGTAAACGCTGTCTGCCTTCACACAAATCATTCAAAGCTGTTCCTCTAAATGTGAAAACATCACCTGGTTCACACGTGCAGCACGGTTTGAGGCCCCTTACATGTTTCTGTATTCTATTAGGCATGCTCTTTAGATCATTTTAACTCCACACCTGTCAAACAATCAGATTTATGTCACACTGCGTTCAGTTTGCTGTGTTTAACGATTCGTGCTTGGCTGTTTCTGATGGGGTTGTAATGCTGCCGTCTGTCCTGCAGGGGGCGACAGGAGACTGCAAATACATTGGCTGTCAGGGGCCCCTCAGCTCCACTGTGACTGATTTCTGGAGGATGATCTGGCAGTACAACGTCAAGGTCAAACGCACAACGCAAACCATTAGCATTCAGTTAATATCCACGAATTAGTCTGAGCTACAAATGGTGTTTATAAACTTTAGTTTAATCATTAAAACGGACTCTTCTTTTTCTTGTTATTCTTCCTGAAACTTAGGCTTCAGGTTTTGGTATGACGTCACAAAGAGCAGGTCTTATACTGTTCAGCCCTGCTGCTTACGGGGGGCAGCCAATCAGAGCAAAAGCTGGCTTAAAAGGAAGCTGCTCCAAGATGCATGATGAGACAAACAAGGCTTGTACTGAAATGTAAATCAACCAAAGCCACTCTGGCAGAAACACTAGATTTTTACTTTATCTTATTTTTTTAGGGCTTCCACTCTGTTGCATTTAAAGGGAAAATTTTTAAGTGTTTTCTGTGCTCAGATTTTTGGATTCCAAACAGATGAAGCATGATGTTTTGGCTCACGCTAAACTTCACATTAGTAAGCAGCGCTGTAACAGTCTGCCAGTTCTTTCAGATCCAGCATCCCAAATGTGTCGCGATGTGATTGGCTGCTTCTAATCCAACCAGACGGTGCAATAAAATGCTGCCTACACACGAATGGACGACTAGTAACCAGTTAAACTCTCTCCGTCTTATTTAATGTTCTTCTGATGGTGGCTGATGGTGGCTGAATATGTGACTGCAAGCATCCAAAATATGGATCCAGAAAAGCCCAAAGAAATGTATTTCTGATGATAACAAATACAGTGACTGAAAGTAGGGTCTGCTAGTTTAAACTAAGGATTGTCTGGACCATGTGAGCTGTGTGTAGAAGTCTAGACTTGAAAATGGGAAATCAGAAGCTGTCTTTGTTGTTCATACCCTGAAGCCTGGATTTCCAGGTTTAGCACACAAAGCATAAATTTACACCTTTTTGTTTGCATGCCTCTACATTTCTAAGTAAATAATTATTGTAGCTGCATTTCTTTTTCTTTGTTGTCCTGTTCATCATATTTGCTGAAATCTGGAGAACTTGAGATTTGCAGTGTCCTGAAATTTGCCACCTGAACTCAGCCCACGATTACAGCCTTCCCTGTTTTTCACAGGCGCTGAATAAAAGCCAGATTTTAGAAATGTGTCCCAAAATGTGTAGCAGGGGAACAAAGCGTACACACACACACACACACACACACACACACGCACACAGCTGTGCTCTTTTCAGCTTCTGAGGTTGTTCATGTCAGACGCACTGTTAAGCTGAAGTCGGTGATCGCTGAGGCACAGGGACGTTTTCTTCATCAGATCAGCAGCTTCTCCTCAGGAGGCTCTGACTAACATCTGACTCTGTGTTTCAGGTGATAGTCATGGCCTGCAGAGAGATAGAGATGGGAAAGGTAAACTCCTTTTTGCCCTTTGATCTCTTTCTTGGCTCAGACCTTTGACTTCAGATTTTAAAAACTCTTCTCTTTTACTTTATTTTCTTTAACCTCTCGAACCTCAAAGCTTTTTCAAGTTTACTCAAATAGAGCAAATATGCAAATCTATAACTACCAAAATATCATTGCATTAGTGAGTGAAGTATGGCATAGTCTTACCTGAATAATGAAAGGGAATCTCACACTTCATATGCATGTATTTCATCACTGATTGTACATGTGGAACAGCTGCGTGCAACCAGAAATAATAAAAACAGAATTAAAGGTTCGTGTTCTTAACTAACAAGTCTGTATTTTCCTTTGCAGAGAAAGTGTGAGTGTTACTGGGCTGCAGCTCAGCAGTCGGCTTCATTTGGACCGTTTACTGTCAGCAACGTAAGAACAAACAGGCTGCTAATAAATCTGATTAACACAGAACATACAGCACAGTTCACCTCCTCATTAACGATGTTAACTGTTCAGACTGTATTGAGTCCTTTTATTTAATACAAATCCAGAATAATCTGGAGTGATTCTGACGTGTTGTTCCTGTGTGTCTCCAGCAGGAGGAGACACATCCCAATGAAGATATAGTGGTGAGAAATCTGACCGTCACATTCCAGCAGGTAGGAAGTTTTCACATGAGTGAGTGGTTTCAAAAAGCTTAACAAGAAGTTTGGACCTTACAAAGCAGAATGCTTTCATTGGCTATAGTTCAAAGACAACGTTTTTCATCACGCCTTCTTTTGTGTGTTTGGAAACTGTTCTTTAAAATCCAAACTTCTCCTTTCTGTTTCATAATCTGTGCTTTCAATGGGCGGGATATCTGGAAAGGCCACTTAAGCTCCCAAATTTTTCAATACAGAGCCATCCTGTTGGAATAAACCAGTTTAGACGCACAGCCTCCAGAGGACACAGTGGCAGCGATTTCTAGGAGACGTTTTCCTTTTGACGAGATGTTTCTGCTTTAGTCTTAATTAGGAGGCAGCAGTGTTTCGAGTTTATGGGTTAATGCACTCAAAACTTTCTTCTCCTTTTAGTTTTACAAACATTTTCCAGGATTTTCTGGGCCATCAAAACCTTTTTTGAAAGAACTGCTGGCATCACATCCAACAATGATCTCAATTTCAGTTTTTTTTTCCAGTTTGTACCATTTTCAGTTAAACGGAGAATGATTTCATTTTCGTTGCATTTTGTTTTTAATTCCGAAGTTTCTTTGGAAACGGACCTTTTGAATAACTTAAAGCATCATTATGAATGCTAATATTAATGACTTGACCTTTTCAGTTTTAAAATAATTTGTTTTCTCCTCCTCCTCCAGGCCAGCCGGTCAGTGATTCATTATCAGTTCCTTTCATGGCCGGATCATGACGTTCCCTACGAGACTGCTGGAGTCCTGGACATGCTGGAGAGAGCCAGGAGCAGCCGTGGAGCCAACGTCTCACCTCTGCTGATACATTGCAGGTACACACACACACACACGCGCACGCACGCACGCACGCACGCACGCACGCACGCACGCACGCACACACACACACACACACGGCTGGTAATGCCTCATCATTACTGCAGCTTGTTTGTGAAATTGGTGCAGATCGCAGGTCAGATGGTCATTAACATTCAGCAGGATAGATCACACATATGGCAGCTTATCTCACACACACACACACACACGTGCACAAACAGACACGCACTCACACACACACATGCAAACACATGCCCACACATCGAAAGCAGGAGGCTGTGAATATGCAGCAGGTAACACCTGCTAACGATGGCACAGTTAACATGCATGCTGCATCTGTTGCTGAGTGTGTGTGTGTGTGTGTATGTTTGTGTGTGTGTGTGTTACAGCGCAGGCTGTGGGAGGACAGGAGTCATCTGTGCACTAGACTACATCCATGACCTGCTGGTTACCAAGGTAACACATGATAACACATCACATGGCCTCAGTGCTGGTCCGCCGTGTGGCTGCTGAATGTCTGAATCTGACGTGTCCTGAATCTTTGTTCTCTTTTCATGTTTTCACTTTTTTAAATACACATTTCACCCTTTTTAAAGATTTTAAATGGTTTTCTTTTAGTGACCTAAGAGTAATAAATGGAGTTTGATCAGAAGATACAAACGTCTCAGATTGAGAAGCCTGAGTTGAGCTAATATCAGTGTGTTTAAAAGCTTCCTAATGTGACGAGTAAACCTTTTAATGAAACCAGAAGATGAGGCCGGATAAAAGCACGTAGTCTGTTTTCCAGGAGATCAGGCATGTCAGATGTAACGTGTGAATGTTGCAGCCTCTCTGTGTTTTGGGGCGGCTCTTCAGTGTTTGTTTGCTCGCTCTGCAGAAGATCACACCAGAGTTCAGCATCCTGAACATCGTCCTGGAGCTCAGGAGGCAGAGACCCTCAACAGTGCAAACTAAAGTAAGTGCTTCATCGAGCAAGTGTGAGAGTTTAGGAGTTATTTAATCCCCAGGAACAGCACTTAAAGAACATCAGCTGCTTTTTAACAGCAAGGGAGTCAATTTCACATTATAATGGTATTCGGTTAAAATGTTGTGAAATCACTTTATCTCATAACGCAACAGCAGCCATGACACACAACATCTTTCTCTTTGTAACTCTTTAGCTTAAAAAGTTAAAGTTTAAAATTTTTATTCTTTTTCAGTTCATGAATTCGTTCTCTCCGGGTGCTCCAGCTTCCCCCCACAGTCCAAAGACAGGTGCTTAGTGGGGTTGGGTTAATTGGGGATTCTAAATTGTGGATAGGTGTGAATGTTTCTGGTGTCCTTGTGTTAGCCCTGTGTGGCGACCTGTCCAGGCTTTACCTCGCCTTCCGCCCAATGGTAGCTGGGATAGGAATGCATGGATGGATGTACATTGATCAGGCATAGCATCATGCCATAATGCCCCCCTGAAGCATAGACTCCTGAAGGTTTGCTGTGGTGTCCACACAAAAATGTTAGCAACACAGCCTTTAAGTCCTGTACGCTGGGATGTGGATCTTTGTCCAGCACATCATACAGATGCTTGATTGGATTTGGTCTGTGGAATTTGGAGACAAGTCACCATCACAATCTTGTAGCTGTGCTCCTCAAACCATTCCTCAACCATTTTTACCCTTCACCCGTAAAAGGCTGATTGGGTATTGTCAGCGGCATGCAGCATGGTCATCTTAGTTTGTGAACCTCAAGGTCGGCTTCAGGTTCTCTGAAAACCTCGTGAATGCAACAACTTGAAAACAAAGCAATGGTTTTTGAAATTGATACCATAATTGTATCTGCTGACAGGCTGAGGGGCAGCACTGCGACAGGGCACACTGTCCTGCTGAAAGAGGCCACAGCCATCAGCGAGCACGGTTTCTGCAACAATGCTTGGGTAGTTGGTACATGTCAAAGTAACATCCACGTGGATGGCAGGACCCAAGGTTTCCCAGCAGAACACCGTCCAAACCAACACACTGCTTCCACCAGCTGGCTGCCTCCCAGATAAGCGATGTAGGCAGCCAGCCATCCACCAGGATGTGAAAGCATGTTCATCAGACCGGGCCGCCTTCTTCCATTGCTCCATGGTCTACTTCTGATGTTCATGTTCCCATTCTTGAACACGGGTCAGCGCGGGCACCCTGACGGGTCTCTTGCTATACAGAACCAGCATTAGCTTCTTTAGCAGTCTGAGCTACAGTAGCTCATCTGTCAGATCAAACCACACGGGCCAGCCTTCGTTACCCACGTGCATCAGTGAGCCTTGGCCGTCCACGACCCTGTCACCGGTTCAACACTGTTCCTTCCTTGGACCACTTTGGATTGACCACTGCAGCCCGGGAACACCCCACGAGAGCTGCATTTTTGGAGATGTTCTGACCCAGTCGTCTAACCATCACACCGTCTTACACTGGCCCATCTTTCCTCCTCCTAACATGTCAACTTTGAGGATAAAATGTTAGGTTGAGTCCACCCAGTAACAGGTGCCATGATGAAGAGATAATCAGTGTTATTCCCTTCACCTGTCAGTGGTCAGAATGTTACGTCTGGTTGGTGTATATTTATGGAGAAAGTTTGTCTCTTTTCCTCGTACTTTAGATTTCTGTAATGGAAACATTTCATTCCCTACTTTGTGACTTTTAGATTAAAATGTATTGTGTTGCACAGCGTCAGAATAACAGTGGCTTTCTTTCTTTCTTTTTCTTTTTTTTTTTGTTAGTGGCTTTATTTCTGCATTTATGACTCGTCTTGTTTTCCGACCCCAGCGCGGTCAGCTTCCATCAGTCTTCCACGCTGAGAGGAAACTTTTCTTCCTTTGTTCTTCGCAGGATCAGTTCCAGTTCATCTACACAGCTGCCATCTCTATGTTTGAACAATTCCTGCAGACATCTAAGGAGCAGGTCTACAGCACCCTACAGGTAAAACACGAATATCTATTTGTGTTACAGTAACAACAAAATGAGTATGCTGGAGTCAGAGGAAGTAGACTGAGAGCAGCTGCAGAAAGAGGAAATGTTCTTTAACTCCGAGTTCCTCTTTGCAAATCCTCTGCTGCACGCAGTTTGACAGCAGAGTGCTCGGAGCACAGAGGCGGAAGGTAGGTCCACTCCAACAAACATGGCTTATTTTTGTTGTGCTTTTCTTCTGTGCTACATCAGTTTTGTAAAGTTTTCTGAGGTGATCTGAGTTTAACCTTGTTGTTTATGTCACCGCTTTTCTATTGCTGAACAAAAAAGGGAATTGGTGATATTTAGAAACACTGGCACGTTCCTTCTTTTATTTTTATCTTGGACTTGAATTTAAACTGAGAGCCGCCTTTTAAGTTAGAATTGTACTTTATTTGTGCAAGAATGGTTTTTAATGTATTTGTGTTTAAGCTGACATAATAAAAATGAGTACAAATGGAACAAAAATCCAGCAGTGGGTCACACAATAGAGAGAAACTCTGATAGGAAGTAGCACACAGATGGTTCTGTTTATAGTAGCATAAATACAATTATTAATAATTGACATTTAATTTTATTAAATGTAAATGTAGTTCCAAATTTTCTCAAATGCCTTTATTTATTTATTTATTTATTTATTTATTTATTTATTTCTACGTTTAAGGCTGATGGGGTGATTTCCAGTGGATCATATTGGCATTAATAAAGTAAATATTTTTCTTTACCTGGTACTACAGCTTCATTCTCGAAGCTCTTCTGGGCATCAAACTTTTGTCGACATTGCCACAAAATAGCATTCATGATCTTTATCCTTTTATTTCACCACCTTCAGCTACAAATGTGCGCCGTTTTGTGACGTTACAGATTCATTAACCGTCGATCCAGAGCGCCGACACGAACAGCAGCTCTCATAAATACTGTGAGAGTTCACTTTAAGGACACAGGACCCCGAGGAAAAATGACAGCTGTACACTTATCTGTGTCTTTACTGTGATAAGTAAAGTAATATATGTACACAGTATTTGCATTAAAGAAATTTAACTGGCTTCTCTTCCAAAAGCTCGCTTTCTGGAAGCCTGTCCGGGGACAGGACCCAGTATTAGTGCTGCGTGAGCGTGTAAAGAAATTCAGTGCAGTTCTAACTTGTAACGTATGCAAACCAAACGTACAACCAGCTTTTGCCTCATGTTACTTTTTCTTACAGAAAATTTGCCACATTAAAACTGTGTGTTGTGTTAGTGTAAGTAAATAAATTTAAGAGTTTATGTAGTATATTTAAATGACTAACACGTTTGTTGTTTTTAGTTCATTTTATATAACCTCTTAAAAACTCTGATGTAAATTTTTGAATACAGCAGTAAGTTTTTAAACAGACCAGAATGAGCGTTTCTGAACCATTTTCTGAATTTTAGGTTAAAATATTTTTTTATTTCTGCGCAAAGACTGTAGATAAATGATGGACAGATGCAGGGGTTAGAGCACTCAGTTGTGAAGGTTGTGTTTTCACTGTTACAACAGCACAAACAGGCCACACAGGTCACAGAGCCACGCCGGGCTGTTTCCCATCGACTTCTAAACAATCGGGTCTTTTTCAGGACAAAGAAGCTTCGCCCATCAGTGGGTTTGTGGACGTTTACAATCGAAAAACCTATATTGAGTTTTAAATTTAAAACCACACGAATAGAGTAACAAAACATATTTTAGACTGTTACATATAAATTAGCTTCTCAACATCACTATTAGATGCAAATAAATCCTATTTTATCACATACGAGTGCTCTGCAGTGTGCTGTTTAGGTGTGTAGTTACCCTCCAAGTCCAACTGATTGAAGGCTAACGTGTTGTTAGCTTTAGTAATATAGCTCAGTCATGTTGTGTTATTTCTATTTATGTTTTATCAAACCTCTTGAGACGGGGGAAGCTGCAGGTTTGTGATCCGTGTATTAAAATAGCCAAACAGCACGATAAACACAGTCAGAGGTTTGTTGGGCCGTCCTTATTATGTTGTACCTGTGACTGGATTAAGGATCTGATGAAGGACTTGCTGAATTATACTGGACAACATAACATCATGATCATCAGATAAATGACAACTTCATGCACCTTTTAACCATTGCATCAAAGCACATGAAGCGGCACGTCCTGTTTCCTTACAAAGACGGCAAATGGGGGGGAAAAAACGCACAAAAAAGCCCATAAACAACCTCTTAAATCAGTGTTCCTTCCCCAGTTTGAGCTGCTGTCTGCAGACACACAATGGCTATTCTAGATCTAAACACACACAACAGACATCAGAGTTTTAAAAGCAGCCTCTCCAGTGTTGTGGTTTGAATTATTCTGATCTACACATGAACCACTTACAGTGCTCGACGCAAACAAAGCTGACGAGCATCTTCTCTCACTTGCAGCAGTCTCTGCTAAAGCTGCAACATGCAAATCCCAGCCTGCGAAGCCGACACGTTTTCAAGTCAGACTCGGCGGTGATCTTCATCTCCCGTGACCTCATTTCTGTGGATTTAGGTCCGAAATAAATAAAAGGAAAGCGCTTAAGTTCAGAAATGAGACGTATCGATGTGCATATTGTCAACACGGGTGATCTGAAAAAACTGAATTGAATTTCTGCTGCTGCATTTACTCTGTGAGGGGTAACGTTGGGACACACCACATAAATATGAAAGTGATGATTGGCTCCACAGTTGGAGGCCTGTGTGCTACATACGTTTACTCAGTCATCTTTGTCTCACTCTGCCCAGAAGCCCTTTTCCATCTGCTGTACAGAAATCCTTCATTTCTTCTTCAAGATGAACTGAACTGTTCTTTTCTATTTTCAGACAAAGAAAACCACAACAGCTGCATCTTCCAGCAACAGGTGCGTGCATGTTATCTACAGAGAGGCACCATACATATATAAAAAAAAACACACAATCTGCTTTTACACATGAATCTGTCTCATTCCCGCCAATTTTGGTAATGCGGTTTTGCCAAAGCTGCTGGTGTGTTTGATTTCTACAAAATGTGTCTTTCGGTATCCGTGCCTAATGCTGTCATTGGTGAGAGGTGTCTGTCAGTAATGTGAACCCAAAGCACTTTAACCACGTAGTTCATGGTGTCAAAACCTTTCCAGTGAGTAAAGCTGAAAGTAAAGTGTAATTGGAAAAGTCCCAAAACACAAAAGGTTTCCTGCACGTGCCCCTGCCAACCCTCCGACCTCCTCACGTGGACATCTTTAGTCTCTACAATGTTTAGGAAATGCTCCGTTGGGTTTAGTGAGGGTGCTGCTCGGATAGAACATGGAGCCAGTGAGCGTGACAAACACTCACTAGCTGTGAATGCTCCAGACTATTAAGCTAGAGCCCCTCCTCATCCTTTTCTTCTTCTTTGGTGCAGCCCTATAGGTTTGGGGTATCCCTTTGGCCTCTCCCCTTTGCTACAATTCCCCTGTGGGAGAGGTCGGTGTCATTTATTTTCCAAAAACTAATTATATCTTTATCCACCCTGATGTTTCTGATTGTGTGTTTTAGTTTGTTATTGTCGTCATTACACCTGTCTTTACTAGATGCTGTGAATATGTGATGCGTGTGTGTATAGGCACTGTTAGTACGTCTTGCTAGCTTGGAAGTTGTAGTGAGGTGAGCTAACTCTCGACCCAACTGTTTATTTTTGGTTATAGGAGTTGGAGCAGGCAAGTTGTTTACTCGGAGGTCTTTCTTTTAACCTTTCATTGTCAGACACAACGCAGGCACACACCAGTTTCACTCACACACACATCGTAATGGGGAGCCAGTAGATTAAAGGCCATTTAATGCTGAATTTGAGTCATTTGCTTTGTTGCGTGCCCTGCAGGTAACGTGTGGAAAAGTTGTAGAGGAAGCTGTAGAGCCATCAGGTGCTACCAGAAAAGAGTCAGTTATATTTACCATGATGGTCTCAGAACAGCAGACTGTGGCCTGTACCATCTTAGGCACATGTGTCAGGTTCAGTAGGTGAATGAATGGTTCTTATAGCGCTTTTCTACTCTGAGCACTCAAAGCTATTTATACAACATGCCCCGTTCATCTATTCTTACAACCACTTTTTTCTATGCTTAAGTGCTTCTAACATTCACACATTAATACTCCAGTGAAGGCATCAGAGAGAAACTTGGGATTCGTTTCTAGAACAAGGATATTTTGCAGAATAGTAGCTGACCTGCTCTCTTTGTTTTGGCCCAACCAGCATAGCTGTGGTCTGAAAGGTTTTCACTGAGGTGGGAGACTGAAAACTTTACTGGGTGTAAACGGAGGCCCGTGTAGCCGCCTTGTCTTCAAAGAGCATAATTTGCGTTCTTGTTTTGATTTTCGAATCCACACACCAGCAGAGAGACGGAGTCACAGGGAGAGAACAGGCGCTCCGGAGAGTCACTGAGCTGAAAAGAGGCATGCAGCTACAGCAGAATGTTACTTCAAGGCAAATCTCAAAGGGACGAAGCGCCAAAGGCTGGTTTAAGTTTTATGTGCAGCCAGCTTCATGGTATAATGCTGGACTGTTTGTTACCAGTGATCTATGCCATCAGGGAGCTTTCATGTTCAGGCCTGCGAATCAGGCTGAGAGACACTTGCATGCACATTTGCAAGAACAAATGTAAGGGTCCATTATTTTGATTTAGCGTCAGGATATATTTGGTGTTAGCGAGTGCTCCATAGAACCAGCAGCTGTCAAATTCAGCTCTATGAGCTGAATAGAAATGTAATCAGTTGTTCTGGAAGCAGAACTGAGGGTTTTATATGCACCAAAATGTACAAGGAAATGATTTATGGCACGTGCGCTATTGACTAAATTAAAGCTTGTCGATAAACTGCGTGACGGGCCCTCATGTGATTTGTATTTCCCAGAGGAGTAGAATTGGTCTGAGATCGAGTTATGGCATTAGATTGACATCGTTTTCAGTGAGCACTCATGTCCTATGAATGGAGACGTTGTCATTGCAGAGAAGGGCACATCCATCAGATTGGAAATGTTTCACTAAAACAGCTTTTCATTGATTTGTATTGACCTTTTGCCCTGAGGAGACAAGAGCACCCAAACCATGTCAGCAAAACGACCCCCGCGGCAGCAGAGTCACCTCATCCCCTCACTCAGGGGCAAAGATTTTAGTCCCGCATACACGTTTATAATGCATGCATTCATCCTGCTGCAGTAAAAGCATTAAGGAGGCAGAATAGTTACAAGATTATTCACAATGTTCTTTCGGCTGGTATCAGTCGGTATTTTTGAGTCTCATGGAAACTCCCAGTGTGTTTGTGATAAGTGGTCATCCCAGCTGCATTGCACACATTCAGAGCTGCGATCACAAACGTGGAGAAGCCAGAAGGAAAATCAGGAGGCCTAATATCAGTCAGGCTTTAAACCAAGTCTTTAGATAATCCTGTCATCTTTGTTTTCAGTCAGCTTCGGTGACAAAGCTGCGATCTAAAGCGCAGCGATAAGAGATCTGTGACTGTGCAGCACGTTTTAATTAAAACCTACCTGAGCTATTAGAATCCAGGGATCAAAAATCAATTACACAGATTTAAGATATCACAGAGGGAGACAGGTGCCACACGCGCATTAAAGCAGGTTTCTTTCCCAAACAAAAGACGCACACGCAGCTTCATATGAGACAACGGGCAAAAAACCAGAAGAGTAAATCACGCCTGCATGTGTGTGAGGGGCAATAATAAATGAGAACGTCGAGGAGAATTAGGCTTTCTAAGAGTCTTTTTGTGTGTTTTCTTTTTGCAAAGACATTTTCACCATAAATTCATGCACAAGATTGTAAATTGGTGCATAAAAATTCACCACACAGGAAAATGTCCTCGTTTTAGGGGGTCGAGAGTTCAGCCCCTTTCTTTAATTTGACACCCATCTGTGTAGGCAGAGAGACCGATATAGACAGCATGCTTCACCCCGAGGTGTTAAATTAGCACCTTCCCACCCTCCATTCCCATATGCTATCATGTTTCCGTGGAGACAGAGTGAGCAGGTAAAGAAGGGGAGGAAACGGGGTGAGGAAGTAGATGTAGGAGGTGAGAATTGGAGGACAGGGATGCTGAAGGAATGACATAAAAAGAAGAGGGGAAGGAAAAAAAGGAGAACTGAAGGGAAATGTGAGAGGGAGAAAATGATGAAAGCGCAGAGGAAACATGAGGAAGTAAGGAAGCAGCTGAGCAAGGAGGTTAGAGTAGGAGCAAATGATGAAACTCAGATCAAAGCTCAATCAATTAAACAGTCTTTACTTCCTTCCGGGACCACAGTTGGTGCACAGTGTTTGCAATCATTGTAACCACGACGACCGTGATCACGAGGCTGCAGCAGGAAGTAGAGTTGTGATTTCCTGCAGAGATGCAAATTTAAACCGACGGCAGCAGTGCTACAGTGACAGCATGAGCCACAATATAAAGATATCAGATCGACGGTGTTAATGTGAACGCTCGGTTCTGCAATGCATCATGGGGCTTGTAGTTTACAACGATACATTTTTATAGTTCCACAGTGCTGTGCTGTAAAAACTCACTTCATGTTTTGTCCACTGTGTGAAGTTCAGAGAGTGGCTGAAGTCTAGAACCTGTGGACATCACCAGTGAGATAAGATAAGATAAGATAACCTTTATTAGTCCCACACGTGGGAAATTTGTTTTGTCACAGCAGGAAGTGGACAGTGCAAAAGTTATGAGGCAAAAATTTGAATACAATAAGAATAAATACAATACACAACTGTACAGAATAGAATAAAATACTATATACAGTAGAATAAAATAAAATAAATATACAATAAGATAAAAATAGAATACAAATACAAATACTATATACAACTGAGTAAAAATACAACGATGACAGAAAGGATTATTGCACTTAGTATTATTGCATATGTATGGATGTGTGTGCTTGATCAGTTAAAGTCTTTGTTGTGGAGTCTGACAGCAGTGGGGAGGAAAGACCTGCGAAATCTCTCCGTCCCACACCGTGGGTGCCGCAGTCTCCCACTGAAGGAGCTGCTCAGTGCTGTCACAGTCTGCTGCATGGGGTGGGAGATGTTGTCCATCAGGGATGACAGCTTAGCCGCCGTTCTCCTGTCACTCACCACCTCCACTGGGTCCAGAGGGCGTCCTAGAACAGAGCTGGCCCTTCGGATCACCCTGTTCAGTCTCTTCCTGTCCCCAGCAGAGATGCTGCCGCCCCAGCAGACCACACCATAAAAGATAGCAGAAGCCACAACAGAGTCATAGAAGGTCTTCAGGAGTGGGCCCTCCACCCCAAACGACCTGAGTCTCCGCAGCAGGTACAGCCTGCTCTGCCCTTTCCTGTAGAGGGCGTCTGAGTTATGAGTCCAGTCCAGTCTATTGTTCAGATGAACACCAAGGTACCTGTAGCTGTCCACAGCCTCAATGTCCATACCTTGGATGTTCAGTGGTTGCAGTGGAGAATGCTTGTGCCTGTGGAAGTCTACCACCAGTTCCTTGGTTTCACTGGCGTTGATCTGGAGGTAGTTCAGCTGGCACCAGTCCACAAAGCCTTGGGTCAGTTCTCTGTACTCCCTGTCGTCCCCATCAGTGATGAGGCCGACTATTGCAGAGTCATCAGAGAACTTCTGCAGGAAGCACTGGGTGGAATTGTGGGAGAAGTCTGCAGTGTAGATGGTGAAGAGATGCTCTGCTAGTTACATAAAATGACAACTCGGATATCAGCACTTTCCAAAAGCTCGACCAAGAAGGAAGTGTTTAATTATCTTTGATTTAAAGTGGGTCACAGCTGATGCTTGTCTGAGGTCACATGGATCATTCCCACAGTCCAAAAGGCCCTTTTGAGGTGAACTTTGAGCACAGGATGACGGACGTCTGGAGGGAGTGTTAAGGCTTTAATTAAAGCAGCACCACAGGGATCCCATGCAAAGGTGCTAACATTGAGTAATCTGAGTCCAAGTGATTAATCTGGGCTGACTGCAAATGAGGAAGTGAAACTGACTAACCTGAGTAAATGTAACCATGCGTAACCTTTTCCACAATCTGATGGGTTTTCAAAAAAGCTTCTAGTCTGTAGGTTTTAGAGCCGGAAGAAACTGTTCGTGTACATGACTCGTTTGTCACATTTGAGTCGAAGCTTATTTTAAAGTTTTAATAATAGGAGTTAAAAGGTCACGCCATCCTTAAACCTTTCAGTTAACAGTAGAGGATCAAATGATACACCCACTGCTTTGAACTCATTTAAGTATTAGAAACTGTGTTCATATCCAAGACGCACTCATCAGCTTTCATAAATGCAAACATACGTGTTAGCATTTAGCTGCTGTACTGAGTTTGACCACATTGTTTCTTCATCCCAGCTCTTAGACGGCTTTCTTGTCATTTTGTAGTTAGATGTTATGGTGGAGCAAAATCTGACTGACGCTACTTTGAGTTCATTTTTAGCAAATGGTTCATCGGTCAGTGTTAAATGGCGTTTAAAAAAAACAAACCCCAAAAATGAACCACTCATGTGAAAATGCTCAGTAATAAGTTTGCATTGACATTGGGTGAGACAGCAGCCACAAAACCTTCGGAAAGCCCGGACAAAGACTGACACAAGACTTTTGCACAGTACTGTATATTACTTACATTTCTCAAAATAAAAATGAAAAGCTGTTGACGAGTGGGATGGTATGCTGTTGCATGTGGTGTTGAGTAGCACATTGGCAGCACTCCCCATCTGCTCAGTTTTGCAGCTCATCACATATGAAACCACACTGCTGCTGTTGAGTTCTTACTTTTAATTGCGATATTTAATTCTTTTTTTTTTTTTTGAGTTGGGGGCAGGGGAGTTCTCTTTTCTTTTCTTTTTTTTTTTTTAGTTTTGCCTGTGAAACTCAAGCTTCCTCTCCTCTGATCGCACCAGTCTAACAGTTTCTTCGCACTTCTGGTGTGCCTCTGGCACTTTTCAAATTGTGTCTACTTCAACATTTTTATTTCTTCTGTTAATCAACAGTCATATTGTTGGTGGGAGAAGAGTGAAAGCATGTCACGCCTTAAACAGTCATTTTCAGGTTAGTTTAGGAAGCTAACGTCATGCTTTTGTGTTTGCTACTATCAGGAAGTGGTCACCTATCTCTGTCCAAAACTAGAAACATACCTACTATTAATAAACAACGTGGTGCATCTTTGTTCTGAAGTCAGAATATAAAGATGTTTCTGTGAAAACCAAACTGGATACAAAGAATCCAAACTGGAAACAAGCTGACGTAAATAGGAAGATGTGATGCAGGGGTTTTGTGGATTCTATATCTGGTCTTCTGAAACTAAATGTGGCCACATTTGACAGGTGCTCTCAGGAGCTAATTCTGGTGCGCCGTACAGGTGCAATGTACACAAATAAACACGCACTTACTAATTAACATATTGAAATGCTGGGATTTAATACCCCAAAACTGGAAAATAAACTTTGTGGACAAGCTGTGGAATTTTCTGACATGTTATTTGGTGCGTTGTTAAAATCAGTCCAAAAGGCAACAACAGCACAAACATGGTCCAGTTTAGAGACTTGGCTGGGGTGAGCAGCAGCTACAGCTTCCTGTGTTAGCGTTCGTCGGTTACGTGTCATTCCCCTAAAAAGAAGTGTTGCAAAGGGGGAAACTAGCTGCAGAAACCAAAGCTGTTTTTAGTCACAGGCTGTGGAGTTGTTGCTGCTGTAAACTTGGACGTTTTACTGTAATTTTTACCACCGCTTGGTCCTGATCATCACTGAGCTGCACACGATTGAAAATGTGGCCTCATACAGCAGCTCAGATGTACTTGTCCTTCTCTCTGTCTGCATGCAGATTATCACAGCAGGTTGTCATGAATGATACGTACGCTGTGGTCAACAAGCCCAAACACGCCCATCCACCCCCATCGGCTCCCACCTACTCAGCTGTACCCCTGTCCAGATCCAATCCTGGAAGCAGGTAAAGAAACTAAAGTGTGCTTTATGCAGACATTTTAGGATTTTGTGATGCACAAACATGTAAAAAGAATAAATGGTTATTGTTTATGAAAAGTCTCATTCCACACCCTAAATCCTCGCCGTCTTCTACTTCACCACAGCAGTTCGTCTGCTGTCGTCTCAGCATATCGCTTGCATCCTGTGTGGACAGATCTTCTGTCACACTAACCCTGTGCTGGTCCTCCTTCACTACATGATCCTTCTCCGTGGTCGTGGCTGCTCAATCTTCAGCTCCTTTGTCCAGTGTATCCGCTCTCCTTCCTCTGGACATGTCCAACCAATCGCAGCCTTGCCTCTCTAACTTTGTCTTATCCTCGCCATTCTGCCTGCAGTCTATTCCCGACCTTTCTTTGTTGCTTTGGCTGATTGACCCCTTCACTCCCTCTTGCCTCTTTACACCTCCACCCTAAAGGCGTGGCATGCTTGCTGGACGCCCTTCCTGACACAACCGCAAAGGGATTTGTCCCAGGATCTTTCACTTGTTACACTATAGAGCCACAAGACCTCCACTCACTGATCATGGCTGTTTTGTCCTTTCAGGACAATGCCCACCTCCCATCACTATGACAACGACCCCAAGAGTGTGTCAGCTGCTCCCATCTACAGCACCGTCAAACCCCGAGCTAAACAGCAGAGCCTGCCACCCTCAGTGACACCCATCTATGACATAGCATCACCGACCGGTCAAAAGCCTGGGGAGGGCTCAGACTATCAGCTGGTTGCAGGTAAGAAGAGGGTGGTGAAGGAGGGGCGGGCGAGTGCTGTTTGGGATTTAAGGGGACGTGAAGACTCGAAATGTAAGGCAAGGCAAGTTTATTTGTATAGCACAATTCAACAACAAGGTGATTCAAAGTGCTTTACAGAGACATTAAAAACAACAATAAAAAGCATGATTTAAAATTGATTAAAAAAATCAGTAGATAAAATCAGTAGTTAAAATATAAGTTTTGAAATTTAAGCTTAAAAGTGTGGATTTGGTGCAGCTGAGAACAGGTGAGTCTTCAACCTGGATTTAAATAAACTGAGTGTTTCAGCTGATCTGAGGCTTTCTGGGAGTTTGTTCCAGATATAAGGAGCATAAAAGCTGAATGCAGCTTCTCCGTGTCTGGTTCTGACTCTGGGAACTGATAAAAGACCGGATCCAGATGACCTGAGGGATCTGGAAGGTTCATACTGGGTCAGGAGGTCACTGATGTATTTTGGTCCTAAACCATTCAGAGCTTTATAGACCAGCATCAGGACTTTAAAGTCTATCCTCTGACGGACAGGCAGCCAGTGTAAAGACCTCAGAGCTGGACTGATGTGGTCCACTTTTTTGGTCTTAGTGAGGACTCGAGCAGCAGAGCTCTGAATGAGCTGTAGTTGTCTGACTGATTTTTTTTTTAGGTAGACCTGTAAAGATGCTGTTACAGTAATCAAGCCTACTAAAGAAGTAAATTCACTCTTTTCTTCCTGCAGCTGAGAAATCTTCAATGGACTGTAACGATTATGAAGATTTTTCCTCTTCAGTCTCAGATGTGACCAGCTTCTGTTCGCCTGGTAGCATCGGTCAGTACACCTGTTCTCACAGTTAATGTAATAGTACCTCATTTTGTTGTTCATGTTGTCACACCTCACAGACTCGTAATTTCAGGTCTTTCCCTCTCAACTTTTTGTATATAGACACTTGTAAAGTTATGCTTGGCCAGTGTTGGGACTAGAGATGGCACGATACCACTTTTTTATGTCCGATACCGATATCATAAATTTGGATATCTGCCGATACCGATATGAATCCGATATAGTGTTTTTTAATCAACAAAACTGTTTTTTAAATATCTTGCTGCATTTTGTATAAGTTCATACTCAAGTTTAAAACAACAACTACACTAAAGCTATTCTGTTATACCTGTATACAAAAAAAAATATTTCATAGTTCAGCAATACTGATCAATCTAATAAACTTAAACCTGCACCATCCTCCCTATTCTGGTATTTTAAAGAGTACTTAGCATAAATATTAAGCAACCTAACTAATAGGGTTCCAACTCCCAGCAACAACAAAAATAAATAAATAAAAAATAGGGAACCACCCCTCACGCGCCACCTCATGATGCTTAATCGACGTAATCAACCTTAATTTGATGCAGTGTGAAAAAAAAATACACAGAAATCAATTATTTTTCAAGAAATATTAAATAGATTCAACATCTTTCTTCAACAAAATTGCAGACTGCACAGATGATACCTTCCCAAAGGAAAAAGTACTATAGCTTACTAGGGTATATATATTAGACTTAACAGTTACTATATACAGTAATTGACTTCTATACATTTTACATCAGATTAAAACTTTGGGTGTAAGATTCAGATAAATATTAAATAATTAAAAGCTAGACATTTTAAATGAGAATAAGAAAGAAAAGTATGTCTTTGTGCCCCCTTTTCCCTGTTCATGCCCTATCGGCCCCCCTGGCTAAACTTTGCTAAATCCGCCCCTGCACAGTTACCAGCCGTCAGCTACGTAGAAAAAGATCCTGGTGTAGAAAGTAATATTAAATAAATTCTAACAACAGCTGATCAAGCTTAAACGTGCTGCTGTTGTTCAGCCGCTGGTTTCCTCTGTCTGGTGCAAAGTGGGCCAAAAGCAAACAAGAGACACGGACTCGCGACAGAAAAGCCGATCAGCTGATCATTTAAGCAGTTTCATGATTGAAGTAGCAGCCAGAGAGCGAGAGGCAGTCGCTCGTTAAGCTTAACGCAGGAATGCTTTACAAACATTCAGAGATGGACTTACACACTTGCTTTACTTCTCTCGGGGATAACTTTGTCAGAGATGAAATGCGGGGTTGCTAAGCGAAGCTCCACATGCTATCCAGACCACCGACAGGTCCCGCATGCCACAGCCGCTCTATCACGTGATGCATACTGCTCCGACGTGCTAATGTTCTGAGGTGAGTTACAGCGTGTTGCAAGTTTTGTGAGGTGCTTTCGTGATATTTAATGGATCGGATTACATTTTTTATTTTTCTCCGATATCCGATCCAGTAATTTAGGTCAGTATCAGACCGATACCGATACGTAATATCGGATCGGTCCATCTCTAGTTGGGACTAACGCGTTATTAAGTAACGCGTTACAGTAACTACGTTATTATTGTGGTAACGAGCACAGTAACTAGTTATTATGCCAAAACCAGGAACGCGTTAGTCGTTACTGGGATTTAGATAGGCTCGTTATTCTTTACTTCGTGTGGTGGCTATCGCGGAGCTTCCACAGATTCAGTAACATTAGCAAGTGGTGGAGGCCAGCAGGTGGATGAGGGAAAGGGGAGGCAGGAGGAGGAGAGACCCGAAGCGGCCGCCGGTCCGAGTGTCAGGTGAACTGAACTTCAGGTAAGAAGTTATGACCTGCAGTCTATCTGGGTCAGATATAAACCAAGTTTAGGTGGAGTTTATTTTCGTTATGCTGACTTTTCTTTACTAGCTAGCATGACAGAGTTTCTATACAGCTGGGTGGGTGCTATGTTACTGATGTTAAACTTTATTTTGTTCATAAGGTTAATTATTAGAGTTGCCAACCGTCCCATAAAAAAACGGAATCATTCCGTATTCAGAGAAAATATTACGCGTTTCGTATTGAGTTGAAAAGGAACACAGTTTGTCCCGGACTTCAGCTAGAATGAAAAATACACAAAGCTGGAGTTATTCTGTCTTTACGCTGCACAGCTGCCTCTTCTTCTCTCATTCTCTCCCCTCCCTCTCCCGTTTCTACTTCAATCATGAAACTGATCAATGATCAGCTGATCGGCTTTTCTCTCTTGTTTGTTTATCGCCCACTTTGGGCCAGAAAGAGGAAACCAGCGGATATCGCGTTAAACAACAGCAGCACGTTTAAGCTTGATCAGCTGTTGTTAGAATTTATTTAATATTAATTTCTAGGATCAGCTGATGTTTGCTGGAGCCACAGCTGTAAAGCTGCTGGTCATGATGTTGGTTTGGATATGTGGTGAGAGGGAAACATGAAGATGAAACCAGGAGATGTCCTTACTGAATCATCAGAGCTGAACAGGTGATGGAGAAACAGGTTTACCTTTTAGGTGACATGAATGAGTTGAAGGGAAGTTATGAACTGTTTCTGAGAGACAAATAACACCAGGATCCTTTTCTAAGTAGCTGACAGCTGGTAACTGTGCAGGGGCGGCTCTAGCAAAGTGTTGCCAGGGGGGCAGGTAGGACATTAACAGGGAAAGGGGGGCACAAAGACATACTTTTCTTTCTTATTCTCATTTAAAATGTTTCGCTTTTAATAAATAATTATCTGAGTCTTACAACAAACGATTGATAGATTGATACATATATACCATCAGAACAGTGTACATCACTGTCACAACAGCGTTTGTTTTCATTCAAAGGCTTTATGATTTTTCCTATAATGGCGGGACGGTCTCTAGTCAAAATGCCCGGGCCGATTTATTTATTTTTTTGTCCCAGTCCAGCCCTGTATGCAGCTCATCTGCAGTCTGGTGTTGCCTACATCTTCCTATTCAGACGGCAGAATTTCTGAGTTCTGAGTACAATCAAAGCACCACGACTGCAGTTTTTGTGTTGGATGTAAAAGGGAACATGACGCTGTGACGTAGGCTAGAATCATGGCGGCGGTCAAAGTTACTTTGCCTAGTAACTAGTTACTTTGAAAGTAACGAGTAACTTGAAGTAACTGAGTTACTTTTGATAGAAGTAACTAGTAATGTAACTAAATTACTATTTTAAAGTAACTTACCCAACACTGCGCTTGACACATTTGAACACACTCAGTAAGCATCATCTTTCTACACGGAGAAGGGGCATCGTTTAACCCAGTCCAACTCATTCCTAACCTAATCAAATACTCTGTGGATTCTGTAACTAACCAGCTAACACACAAGAAAAAATAGAGCAAAAAAAGAAAACAAACACAAGATCCTGAATGGGAGATTCCACACTCTCGGTGCTGGGCTCGGACTACACAATATGTGTGTTGTAGTGCTCACTGTGTCACATTAGGCCAATTAGAGAGTCGGTGTGTCTAAAAAGCATGTGTGTAAATATAGGTTGAGTAATAGCAACTAAGAAATGTCATTTTAATGTGTATGTAATGATATAGTGGTTGCATGTTAGTGTTTTAAGGGCATGTATTGTGCTCATTCTAGCTTCATATATTATTTTTTTTTATCCAAGGACTCAATGGGTAGTTGGCAGGACTTGCAGTTCAAAATAATTATGTCTTTTACTGGTGCTGTTCATCCTCAATCAAACTCAAGCCACTTTTAAGCTAACATACTTCTGACTGGCTGCTGCTCATAGGCAGAAAGTCTTTAAGCTAAGCATAAGAGTGACAAGAACGACAAGAAATACTCAGACTGAGATTTCGGTGTGGACATTAAGCTTTGGGTCAGGACTTTTTTATAGAGAGTAATGTGAACCATGTCTGACCTCTGTGTAGATGGATCGTCTCAGACGTTGTCTGGGCTCAAGTTTGGTCGGTTTTCAGTTTCTTCTTCCCGCCTGATTAATGTGTTACACTCTGCCCATCAGGGACCTTAAAAATGAACTTTCTTTAAGAACAATTTAACCCTCGTTCAGCATAGACACAGCTGTGCTAATGTGTTTTTAACCAGTCTAACCATAGCTAGTCACCAGGTATCACATCTTTGTTTGTCAGCCATTCAAACTATACCAACTCTCCAAACTGTTATTTAGTTTCCATCTTAGTTTGTGTCCAAAGTTTAAAACATGTTCTTACTGATGTATTTAATCTTTAGATGGAAACAAACTAGCTAAACTGCTAGCTTCTAGCTAAACTGCTAAACGTCTAGCTAAACATCTAGCTAAACTTTGTAAATCCTCTCTTTCATGGATGAAAGAGGATTAAGCAATATTATAAAACCTGTGACTAGTTACACTGATCATTTAAACTCTGTTGCCCAACCCTGGAGACCTGTCAGTCTAGTTAAAAATGTTTATTTGTTTGTTTGTTTGTTTTGTCACACTGTCACTTTGCTGCTCTTGTTTGCACATTTGCACGTGCATTTTGTTGTCTGCTGTCTGTTAACAAAAAAAAAAGAAAAAAAAAGTCATCCTTAGATAGTTAGTTAGTTTTTGTTAATTTATGTTGTAATTCATGTTAGGTCAGTCTGTCTTGTCTCTGCTAGCCAGCTAACTACGCCTCTTAGTTAGCTAGTTTAGTGTTTTCTGTTTATTTATGTTGTAAATTTATGTTGCATGTAGCACCTTGGTCCTGGAGGAACGTTGTTTCGCTTCACTGTGTATTAACTGTGGTTGAAGTGACAATAAAGTTGACTTGACTTGACTTATTTGCTGACTGGGAACCACTTGCTGACCAGCTGGGGAAAACGCATTTTCCCAAGTGACTGAGGATTATCAGGGGGTCGCGATCTGGTCAGTAGTCCTGCGAAGAGAGAAAGAGTTTGGACTGTTTAACTCTCTGGTCTCTGTTTTTCAGAACTGAAGGAAGATTTTGCTCCAAAAATGAGTAAAGATGTCAAATAGGTGCTCTTGGAAACCTTTTGGGTGTTCCATTGGAGCTTTTCTAGCTGCTCAGAAATAAGGATTGTTTTATGTTTATTACTATTATCTGACAGCTACACTGTGGTGTGCTACTAACTATTTTAAATTTTTCTTATGAATACTGAACATGGTGTAGGTGGTATGGGGGAGGTGATGGTGATAAAAAATGTGCTAGTTGGCAGTGGTGATGACAGAAGAGAAGACGGTTTACTCACAGTTGGACTGCTCTCTTATTGCTGCATTTGTGTGTCACATAGTGAAGTTATACTTTCTCTGATTTTCTTTATTTTGTTATTTTTCAGGGTTTAACTGTCGGATTCAGAAGCCCAGAGGACCCAGAGATCCTCCAGCTGAGTGGACTCGGGTGGAGAGATGAACTGGTTTAACTGGTTTATCAGAGACTGTTGGACTGGACTGGACTGAATTAGACTTGAATCTGACTGTTTGTGTGATTTGATTTGCTAAACTGGTGTCACTGTGATCATCTGACCGGGTTCAGAAAGCTGCCTGTAAATATTTATCGAAATCATGCTTGACGTGTCTGTATTTTATGTATTTAAAGGTTCAATTTACCTTTTTGGTGGGAATAATTTAATATGTTAAATATTTCGAATAGACGTTTACAGACTTTGACCACAATCTTAAATCATATTTGACCTCCTGACCAGGGACTTTATCTTATTTTAGATGTTGAATCTTCACTGTCACTATCATTTGAAGACACAAAAGCTCAGTATCACTAACATTTGATTTTGTAACGTGAGTGTTAATGACAAATTGTAAAAATAAAAATGGAACATCACATCTGCTGAGCATAATTAATTTTTTTACTAATAAAGGATTTCTGTTAACTATAAGGTTTCATGGGGGAAAAGGATTAATTTGGCTCAACACACCTTAAGTTTTTATATTTGAAGGTTTTGTGCTTTGTACATTTTAAACAAATGCTACAAGAAGCTGATCCACGCAGGATTGCTTTTCACAAAATGGTGAAAAGTAAAAGATAAAACCTGGTTCTTTGGTCTGTGAAGTACCTAAAAAAAGGAAATTATATCAACAAGTGAAGTACTCTCAAACACACCAAAGCAGAAGTCCTCGAAGTCCTCAGAGCTAATCTCAGTACAGTCAGTCACTATGGAATAATATTCCTGGTTGGTTGCCTACATTTCCCATCATACACCTGATGGGATTTTTCATTAGCTCCTGCCTGCAGCCAGGTTGTCCAAACGCCACACCTCATATTGGCCTTCCTCATGTGCTAGATTGCACATCCCTGACTCCTCTTGTCACTCTAAGGATGAGCCAAGGAAACTGGGATTTAACAAAATAAAACCACCTTGCTTTGCAGCCTCATTTTAAAGCAATTAAATGAAATCAATTAAATATATTTGAGCCAACTGCATCATAAATAGTTTTGTTCGAGCCCTGCAGCTGTATTTTATCATCTCATTTTAGTGCTCCTGACTTTTTAAAATATATTTAGGGTTAAATTCACAACAACATGAACACATTTGTTTTTAAAACACAAACACATGGTGAAGAACAAAGTCTGAGCATGAAGCTGAAACAGCTGCTGAATACAAAGGCCTGGCTGTTTGTAGAGGAGTCCTTCCTCCTGAGGAGTACCGCCCCTCTTTAATACACGGGGGCAAAGAACACATGGGATGCAGAGGCAGCCTCTTCACTTTGTAATGCAGACTTTCAAGTAACCCGTTCCAAAGCAACCTTGATGACATTACACATGTTCCCTATGAAACTCACTTGTTGTGTATGTTTGTTGAACCTGGTGTCTAAAACACAGTGTCCCAGATGACCACCAGGAGGCAGCAGAGCAACACCAACCAACAGCAGGAAGGCCTGGAGCCTGTTGGTGTGTGAAAGCAATAAAGGGAAGAAGAAGAACAGAGGCTCCCGAAGCAGTGTGAATGAACAGAAAGAACACACTGAGGGAGGGAAAAAGGTGGTTTCAATTAAACTTTTGGCTTCACTGGACTGTGGTCAGTGTGTGTGTGTGTGTGTGTGTGTGTGTGTGTGTGTGTGTGCACGTGTGTGGGGCTGTCTTTGTGAGAACCACTGTCAGTTTAAGACCTTGTGAGGACATTTGCTGACTTTGGCACAGAGCTTCAAAGAGCCATGTGAGGGTTCAGACCTGGTTTCAGGGTTCAGGTTTGGGTTATTTGCCACAGCGACATGTGGACACACTTGTATTACTCGTGTTGTGGGAACATAAATGTGTTCACACAACCACATTGTGGGAACGCAACTCTTTTAATTGGATAAAAAGAAGTCCCCATAAAGCAAATCATCAACTTTTAGTGTGATGCTGGAAATGAGTCAAAGTGATGTCCTCTGAAGTGATGGAAACACAAAAGTGTGTGTGTGAGAGAGAGACTGACATCATCAGATCTGAATCAGGTTCAAAAAAAGAGATGATTCAGCACACACACACACACTGTACAACAAAGTGTGTGTCAGTGTGCATTTTTGTGTCTTTTGTCTTTTGCAACCACAGGGCTGAGCTCTCTATCATGCCTTGCTGTAATCAAAGAAGTCTACCAACACACGCACGCATCCATGCACATGCATATGCACACACACACATGCACACACACACACTTGTCTGTCCCTCGGTTTGAGTCTAAAAAACCACTAAATGCAACTCTCGTGCTGCCAGCTGCGCTGCCAGTTTGCCGCAAAGCACACTCCATTTATTACAGGCATTTTACACGTGCGCACACACACACACACACACACACACAGGTCATGGGTGTTGGCTTCTTCAGTGGAGGAGAGACCACAGGCATCCATAGATGGAGAAAGAGGGAGGGAGAAAGGGAAAAGGAGAGCGATGAAATCGAGTGATAGACTGCGATATTGGAAATTAAAGGAGGATTTTTTTTTAAACCCATCACTCACATGTCCACATATCTACGCCTGTGTGTATGTGTGAGCTGTACACTTCCCGGGCACTTTATTAGGAACACCTGTGCAGTATAATGCAATCCAATCCAACAGCACTGCTATAAATTCTTCCTCCACAAAGTTTTATACATTTCCAGTTCTTCCTGGTAATTTCAGGAAAGAGGTAGGGGGTTTTGGTGGACTGTGGGGGGCTCACTCTACAGTTGGAAGCACAGTTTGTCTTTGCATAGTGAGTTATTGTTACCTTAATTAACAGAAGTCAATGCATTTTTTAAACAAAAATGTGTTTTACATAAAACTTTTAACATTTGTAGTTATTTTGGGGGAAGGTCAAATAATATTAGTCTGTGTTTGTGTGTTTGTGTGTGTGTAGTTTTTTATTAGTGTAGTGTGATGAAAAGAAAATGGTGGAATAGTTCCAACTCTAATCGTTTGGTTAATCAGCTTCTGACTGAACTTGTGTCACAGTACTGATCGTGTGCTGTGCAGTTGGTGTAACGAATTTGTCAGTCACATGATCAAGCATAACCTTGGGAGCAGTAATTTTTTTAAAATCATGTTTTATTCATTAGGACTTGAAACTAGACACCACACACTGATAATGAAAGTGCGTGCTGAGCTCACAGATCAAGGGAAAAGTTGAGCCGTTTACCCAGGGACTTCTTTTTACAGCCACAGGAGGCGCCCCCTGCTGGACATGCAGTCTCTTCTGCATTAGCTTCCCTTTCCAGATCCCACATTCGTGCCTTAAATCTATCCCTGTTTTTATTTTTTTTATCCATAATTAAATTATAAAAAAATAAATGTTCATCACATATTTTCCATTACATGATGCTGACAGAGAGTGAGAGAGGGAAAAATGGGGGGGCCGAGGGAAAGAGCAACTTTAGATGAATGAGGAGACGAGGGGCTGAAACTCAAAGAGAGAGACTGAGAGAGAGAGGGAAACAGAAGCCTAGCAATGGAGTGATAAAACAGTGAGAGAAGAGATAAAGCCTGTGAGGGCTGAAGGAGAGACGGAGACAGATGGAAGCAGACCTACAGAGTGATGAAAAAGACAGATAGTGGTTTAGCAGAAAGAGAGAGTGATGAAACAGAGGGATAGATAGGGAGAGAGAGAGAGAGCGCAGTCCTGCCACTGAGCCTTGTTGCTAGGCAACTGAGCAGCTCCTCTTTGAAGTTTTCCCTCATTGTTTTGTTTTTTTTTTGTTGTTTTTTTTCTTTTTCTTTTTGAACAATCAGGTCAGAGCGAGGCTTAGTGGCAACCATAGCAACCACCTCAGCACCACGCCTGGTGGCCATCCCATCCCTGAAGAGAAAGAGAAACTCTGGGCCGGGGGAAACTCTGAGGTTGAAGTTAAACCACAATCAGATGGCACGGTGTCAGCAGAGACGACTTTACCAGTGTCTGTAGACACAAACAAGACATTCACCAAATGTTTGGAGTTGAAAACAATCTTAAAAACCTTGAAAACAACATATTGTGTCTCCTTCAGTTAGAGGTGGTGCTCCTGTGTAGGAGAGCTGGGGGCAGACACATTACAACGGAGACATCGGGTACTCAGAGGACACTAAATATAAATCTGTGTGATGGCAAAGATGGCAGTTGGCCTCCGCCTCCTGTCAAAGAGAGCCAATCCACAGCTGACCCAGGAAGCAAATGTACCAATCGTATTGTTGTGCTGGCACATGCACAGTAGAGTTTTACTAGTTTTAACTGTGTGGTGGAAATCTTATCCATAAGTTATCATAGTCACAGGGCAAACTTTTGAACACACACTCATCATGGGCATAGTGTCAGGGCAATTTTCTTCTTTTAATTATTTCTTTGAGCTTTTCTTTTTCCTACATTTTCAATGACTTTTAAAAACTCAAGAATTAGGTGAACAAGTTTGAATTTATTTTTGGATTTTCTGTAATCCATTCAGGGTCAAACGCTTACAGAACCCCCCACTAATATTTGGTCATAGCGAGCTGTACCTTGACCATATCCTTTTGGTAGCCATCACCAAACTCCTGATCCAAGTTTCAACCATCTAACTGTTGATCTGAGGTGAAGATGAAGAAGTTGGAAGTAGACCCTATTATTGTAGGATCTTTACCTTTAATAATAAAGGTCCTCGAGGCTACTGTTGTTGTGATTTGGTGCTATATAAATAAAACTGAATTGAACTGAATAGTTCCTCTCCTTCCTTCTTCCAGAGGATGATGCTACCCCCACCATGCCTGACAGTTGGTATCGTGGTCTTGGGTTTAAAAACCTCACCTTTACTCCTCCTAACATACCTTTTATTGTTTTGGTCAATTAGGTCTGACCATAAAACTTTTCTGGAAAAGATATTTGCCTTCTCCATGTGAGTGCTTTTAAATTTCAGCTGGTTTTGAATGTTTTGAATTTGGAGAAAGACCTTCCTTCGTTGGTCCTCTTAGTTCCTGGCAGTGAAACTAGAGGCTGACAAAGTGGTTACACATTCAAATAACGTGCGTACAACTGTTTCAGTTTTCCTTCTATTATCTTTACTGAGTCTCTTGGAGTTTCTCATTGTTTGGAACATTGGCCACTCCGATGAAGAGTGTTAAACAAAACCTTTGTATGCTGGCAGAGTGAAACTACCAGTTGTAGTCAATCATGGTCACTAATGGGAAGCTAATAGGTTTTGGCCTTGTCAAATTAAAAGACTCCACTCATTAAAATAAGTGAGTGCATGTATGTATTTCTGTGTATGTCTTCAAATTTGGGCAACCAGTTTATGTTTTTTTAAACTCGTGCTGTACAATCATTCCAGCCCGGGGAAAAGAACAGTCCAAAAATATTATTAAAAGTCCAAAATTACTGTGACCACCATGCCCATGATGTGTGTAAACTTCTGACAAGCAACTTC